CAGTTTTTACGTATGTAAATGGGGATGTTGACCACCATCTTATGGAGCTCTCAAGAAAGTCAAATGAAAAAATGGATGAAAAACACTTTGAAAACTCCAGCTCGTTTACAATGTGAGGAAGTGGTGGTGGTGACGTTGTGAAGGACCTCTTGGCCACCTTCAGGGGCACGATGAGGAAGGGGGAGAATGTTTTCTGAGGTCCCTGCCTTCTCTACTCCATAGTCTGCTGGGAGACATCACCAGGGCCCCTGCCATTCAGCCCTCTGAGGTGTCCTTCCCTGCCCAGTTCTACGCCTCCAGCCCCAGGGAGTACTGCACAACCCCACCCCTTCCCCAGGGGGCCAGGCCATGAGACTGCCATAGGCCAAGGGCCAGCCCCGCCTGCCAGGGCCTGTTACTCCCTCCTGCAATTGTCCCTGTGAAGGGGCCCCTCTCCAGGATGGTGGGCTGTGGACAAGACTCCCTGGGCTCAGGTCCAGTACCCAGAAAATCAGGCCAGGAGGGCGGAGATTCAGGAGAGTTTGTTTCTCCTGAGCTCACTGGTGAGCTCCATGGCTGGGTGGAGTAAGTGGGGGGTGGGGGGAGGAGAGGTGTTCCAATCTGTGCAACCTGTGGGAGCAGTTTAGAACCACAATTTGAGATGACAGCAGAAGTCTTTCATATAAAGTATATTAAAAGTATACTAATAATAGTAATATTAATAAGAATAGTAATTATTATACCTACACTATAATAATAATAGTAGTAACAGTGGCTCGTTAAGTGCTCCCTATGTGCCAGGTACCTGGTTCTATGCACTTCACATGTATTTTCTCACTTATCCTCATGATATCCCTATATGATAGGTACTATTATTATCCAAGAAACTGAAGCCCAGAAAGGGTAAATAAAATGCCTACGATCTCTGGAAGCTACGATGATGCCCAGGGCACTTTGACTTCAGAGCCCAAGCTCTTAACCTACCAGTGGTTTCAATGGGAGTGACACGCCTCCTGGGGGCATCTTGGAAATGATGAGCAAGATGAGCCTTAGTTTGCCTCAATGATAAGGGGGGAAAACTCTTACTGGCATTTAGTGACTGCAATGCACAGGACAAATTTCCAAAACAAACAATTGTCCCGTATCCTGCACTAAACCCACCACCCACCTCAGTTGGTCATACTTCAATTCATAATAATATTAAAATGTTTTTATAAGCTTTTAAGTTTTTTGTAACAAGTTTTATGAATAACTCAGAAAGTTAATAGATGATTATTATGGAGAAGAAACTTAAATGGAATAAAAACATTGTCTCAAAATGATATAATCTCTTCTAAGCATTGCCTACACAATTTGTTACAACATTTCAGCTGCTACACATTTGGTTGAAAGCTGTTCCAATGCAGTAGGGTATTACTGAGTAAGCAAAGAGAGTGACTGAAAATATTTAGCAGAGGAGACCAGAGAGAACCAAACATCATTAAAGCAGAGATACTTGAAATGCAGGAGATCTCATTGGAGCTCCTTAATGACAGTTTTTAGAAATTATTTCACAGTACTGCCATCCTCTATGTTTTTAAAGTCTTCTGCAGCCTGAGGATGCACACCTGTGTGGAAACGATTACATGTGGAA